AGAGAGAGAGAGAGAGTTGAATATGGGATGGAAGAGGGGGAAAAGGAAGGAGGACGAAAGAAAAGAAAGGGGTCTGAGAGATAGAAACGGAAGAACGAGATTGTTAGTGAAAGAGAGGTGTCTCTTGTTTAGCAGCCCTCCTCAATGGGCGCTTCACACTTTGTTACGATGGGTAGACAACGAGAGGAAAGCAGAAGAGGCAAAGAGAGAGAGACATAGAATAAGAGGTAGAGAGGGAAGGAGAGATTGGAAAAGAGATTAAGAAAAGGGTAGAGAGAGAAAGACTGGTACTAGTCTACTTGATGTGGTTTGTTGTGGCCCCCAGCTACTCGTTCTTTGCCAATCTATCTGCTGCCTGGTTAGTAGATGTGGTGGAAGGTCCCCATCAGTTCCTTGCAACTATAGTTCACATGGTAAAAAATAGGTAGAAGGCACTAAGGGCACATTGCCTTCAAAGATAGGTCTGTGATACCTATGAATTGTCATGAAGATTGGTTCCTAAGTAAACCCCTTGTACCACCCGGTTCCAGGTCGCCCAAAGAGCAACCACCTATGTTAAGCTTAAGCATATTCCTAAGTTTGGGAGAGTCCATGGGGTAGCAATGTTTGCCTAGGAGAAGTGAGTAGTAAGATATTCATCCAACTAGTAAGGAAGTTTGGGAGAGAAATATCCTTGAGCGCCCTATTGCTTTTAGCCCAAAAAATAGTTCCAGACTTGATGTGGTCTCCATACACTACGAAGGGAAGTACTAGATCCTTGGAAGGTGTGTCTATTCCTCTCTTTCCATACAGGCCTTATGATAGCCATCACCATGTCCCTCCATAGGAATGTTCCAACCTTGGGGCAGGGAGGGGAAAGGTAGGTTTGGAATAGTTGGGTGATGGACTTGGGGAAAGTCCATTGCCAAACAAATTCCTTAAGGAGTTTGGACCATGGACTAGAGCCAATGAAACAATGTAGAAGTAGATGGTCCAAGCTTTCTTCTTTTAACAACCACATGACATATCTATTTGCTAGTTAGATACCTCTATACTGAAGTTGATCTACCATTAGGGTTTTAGTTGGCATTGTGTGGCACTGCTATGGTCCACACTTTGTTGGAGAGTGGGGGCTTATTGATTTTGGAGGAAAGGACTTAAAAATGGAGGGTAAGGTGAAGGTTCCTGAGGTTGTTGGTGCTTCATAAATCCTATATGTTCCATTTAATGGGATAAGTTCCCCAGTTCTAGGAGCATTTCTGCCGGACTCTTCTATCCGTGTCATTAAGGGGTCTAGTGTTTGTCTCCCTAACCATAACTCTTTCCATAGACGGAGTCTTTCTCCATTCTTGGGTTTGGATATGACATGTCTTCTGAGACTTCCTTGGTGTGGACTACGCTCTTCCAGGCCTCCCGAAGCTTTAGTGGGGCATCTTGGAATCTAGCTTGAGCTCTCTTGGCCATACCTCTCAGTGATTACGTTCCTCCATAAGTGATCTTCCTTAATGGCAAATCTCCACCACCACTTCCCAAGTACGGCCAAGTTAGCATATTTTAGGCTTCTAATAACTTTTTGGGTTTGCACACGTTGCCCAATGCAATCAATGGAACTTATGTTTATCTTTTGCTCCAGACCAAAGGAACCTACGTATCCATTTTTCATGTCTCGAGGAGATGGAAGCTGGCATGTGAGACGAAGACATTTGAAAATGGGGATGTTGGATAGGGTGGCTTTAATTGGCATTATACAGCCCTCTAAGTAGAGCAAGTGACCCTTCCTTGACGCCAACCTTTGAGTGGAATCATTCTTTTATATGGTCCTATTGAGATTTCCTAGGTTTATTTAGAGTAGCAGATCCGAGTTTAGGCCACCGTGATTCCCTAACTCCCAAACAATTTGGTTCATAGACAACGGAGATAGTCAATAAGAATCCATCTGAGATCATAGAGAAAAGGCAAGTGATACTGAAGGAAGCAATAATTCTTTGCTATAGTGCATGAGTAGTTGGGTCTTAGATTGCCCTGACCCCTTTGAGGCCTCAAAGGCCACTTGAGTGACTCATTGACCAGGTCTTCTCATCTGACTTGTTGGATTTGGGAGAGGGTGGGGTTGGGCAGTTTTGTTTCAATTAAGCCAAATATATCAGGGTCGTGCATTTGAGCTAAAACTCAGAATGCTTTCTATTTATTTTGATGGCCTAAACCTTAATTTTCCAAATGGTGATCTTCATGGGGTAGTAGTTGTGGTTGGTGGAATTGTGGAGAGTCCCGCCAAAAGGGGACTACCAGTAGAGTCGAGGAGAGGTACTAGCCTGATCTTTTCACATTAATTTAGCAAGAAAGACTGACGAGTTCCCTATTGCCTTTAAACCTGTGTTTGTTATTTATGCGCAGAAATACCTACATTATCCCGAACAACGACATTCAGATCCATTGCTTGACCTTCATAGATGAAACCCATGGATCTTAACAGTTGTCAATGTTTGGTTCTCCTGTCTCCACTCTTGTAAGCTCCTTGGTGTCTGCTGAAAAGAAGGGCTATATGCCGGAGTTGATGTCCTTCTCCAGAATGTTTGGGGAAGTAGCTTTGAATGTCTACTTAATTTGGATTGATGTTGCCTTGAATTTGGGGGTGTACATTGTGAGCCTGTTGTGAATTCGGAAGGGTAGGAGAAGCAGGCAGCATGCTTTGGATAGGGTTTATGTGGGTAGGAAGAGCCCCACCTGTGAGGTGAAACGTGTTGAGAGCACACCTTAGTTTTGGTGGTTTATATTATTTTTAAATTACAATATTGTATTATCTTTCTTGTGTCTTATTTTGACTTATGTTGGATTTATAGCTACTGATGTTTCAATGTTTGTCACAGATTTTCGTGATGACCCCGGAAAGACTTCTACGTAATTTGCACCATTGTTTAATGAGGATGGAATTTATTGCACTGTTGATATTTGATGAATGTCATAATGCGCACAAGGGTCATCCATATGCACAAATCATGAAGGTCTTGTCTCTTGCTAAGTTTTTGTGTCTTTCATATTGTATTACTTATAAAATTTTGGAGCTGTTATTATTTCATATTTAATTAGTTCAATGTAGGTATTCCATAAGTTTCATATTTAGTTATTGCCATGTAGGAATTCTATAAAGCTAACACTGGGAAGAATCCCCGTATATTTGGAATGACTGCATCTCCAATCGTTGGAAAAGGTAATTGCATGAATTGCTTGTCCACTTGTTAAAATAGACAGTTCCACAAAAGTCTCATCTTATATCCAAGCACATATTACCATGAAAACCATAATGCAAAGCTAATACATTGATACATTCATTACATACCCTATTGTTTTATCTTTCTGGAAAAGAGAAACTCATACTTTGATATGGTAAGGTGGAATCCATGGGTTCTTAAATCATCCTTCTTTTGGGGAATACTTATTGGATTTAAGGGTGTATTGGATTTAAGGGTGCCTCTGTAACTTATATAGTTATTAGGGTTTTCACTCATAAGTATCATGCAAGATAGGATATCTTAAGATTAAGGAAATTTATCCCAAAAATGATGGAAAGAAAAGTTTTAACATTCCTACAGCATTTAGGCCATGTCTGCTGTAAAGTTTGTTGGTTTGGATTTGTCACACCCCAAGATTTATAAGACTGGAATCCCTGAGATGTAACAGTCTATATTTAACAAAATGAAAATTTTTTACTTCACCATTTATTGCACTAAAACAGATTTTTTTCCATTTCTAAGAGTCTGTACAAAGTCTACTCATAACTAGTATTAACATGAAGGTTTAGATATACATCTGTTGATAGGGCAAAATTTACAATAATGAATTTGAACAAAAGTCACAAAGAGAAAATTTCATCATAACTATGACTTCTTCCAAAGTTGGTCCTGTTGTGCCTTCAACTAGGGAGGTTGCAATTACCCTGAAAATTTTTTACCATAGTTTGATGAGTTTGGCTACTCAGTAAGTGATCATCATAGTCCTAAAAAATAGTCATAGTCGGAAGATGTAAGCATTTTCAAAAAGGGGGGTCTATTAGAAACAATACGAGCCAGAAAGCATTTATGGATAACAATTTCACTTTCAGAAATGCACAATTAAACATAATCCAAATGATTGAAATGCATATAAATATTTTAACAGCAATGCATAACTCAAAGGATTTCACAAAATACCATACTGGCGTCCCAAGTAGGTCACCTATATACCCCACCAGCGTCCTGGATGGGTCCAAACAATCCCTGCAGGTCCAAACATACCTCACCGGCTTCCCTGATGAGTCCAAATAGTCCCTACCGGCGTAACCAGATAAGTCCAAACAATCCATGCAGGTCCAAATATACCTCACCGACGTCTTGATGAGTCTAAATAGTCTCTAGCGGATAACCGGATAGGTCCAAACAATCACTTCAGGTCCAAACGTACCTCACTGGCGTACCGGATGAGTCCAAATAGTCCCTATCGGCGTCCCGGATAGGTCTCCACATACTTATATTATCTCAGAAACTCTTTAACATCAGAAAGCATCAACATCGTATATTCATAGTATCATTGAAATCATTAATAGGAATTCACTTGATGAAATTTAAACAATTACTTTCATTGAAATATTTGTAAGTAACCAATCAAACAATTTGGATAAAAATTGCAGAAAGGTAGCAGATCGAACAGGTATATTTGAAATGGAATCCAATAGGCAGTCGATTATCAATTTAAGAGATTTTATAGAAATCCAAGGTTAAACACATAAATATCACAATTTTATGGAATGTAATTTCATAATTAATTATTTTACAGGAATAGGTAAAACTTATAGTATCTAAAATTCATAGACAAACAAAAATACAATTAAATGCAGAAATGCATAAATCTCACACTATTGGCAGTATTATAATTAATTGCAGAAATATCAATTTTTCACATAATGATTTTACCAGAAATGACATCACTTACACATAAATTTTATAGTGTTTAAAAGTCATAATAATAGCCAGAAATTTTATTTTTAATAATTTACAATGTCTAAATTTCTAACAATAATAATTTTAACAGAAAAAAAATGATACCATATGCGCATAAAATTACGAGACAAAAATGGTGAACATACTATTTTTCAGGATAATGAGATCATTTACCTATAATATTTGGGAGGGAACTTTCAGTAAAATTCGGCTAGAGAGGAGTTCACTGCGTTCTTTAATTCACAAAGAGGGCTCAACGTTACTGAGAGGGAGGGGCTTAAGAGAGATTGTTTTTGCAGAGAGAGAATCCAACTCGTTCTCCTCTTTTTAAACACAAAAAAAAATATTATTATAATATATTATTAACCCACCTCATACATCAGGTGTTTAGAAGTTGTTACATTAACACTTAAAGCCCACGTCCTTAGAGGACGTTGCACAAGAAACAAAAGGTGAAGGTAAAAAGAGCCAAAAAAAAAAAAATCATGGTCCCAAAGGAACAAATTATTTGTATGGACCAAAAAAGGTAAAGGTTTTTTTTTTTTTTTTTTAAGTTTAGGATTGTTACAGGATCTCTAGGAGAGAAGGGAAGGCAAGAGAGACAAATCGAGAGAAATCACGTTGGGAGTGAGAGGAAGGGAAGAGAAAGAAAGCACACGTAGAGAGACAGAGAGAGGCTAGGAGGCATGTTACTGGCTGAAAGCATGGCCTAAGGTTTGTGTGTTCTGTCCTTGTACACATAATAAGTTACAAAGGGAAACTTTGTCCTCTAGGATTTACAAAAGGACTAATCTGTCCTAAAGAATGAACCGTACATACAATGATAAAGAAAGATAAAATCCCACATGTATACAACTCTCTACAGTTCCCTGCATGTTGGTGCATATATTTCATTCATACCCGAATTGTTTATAATGGTATGCAGGTGGTCTCAACCCACTAGCTTGATAAAAATATCACCTAGATGATTATCAGTCCTTGTATATGGAGTGGATATGATTTTGGCTGCCACCTTTTTGCTATAAAATGTCAGTCAACCTGGCAGTGTTTTGTTATTTCATAGAAGTCGGGATTAGTCGCAATAGAAATAGCTGCTTGGTTGTCACAACGCATAGCTATAGATGATGTGATTTTGACTCCTGTATCACTTAGGAGCACTCGTAGCCGTAAGAGCACATGAATTGGTAATGCCATGGCTTATTATTCTACTTCTATATTGCCTTACAGAGCTACACTTTGGCTTTCACTGGGAGTGGTTTTCACTTCTCCAAGTGACCAAAATTTCCTCCCACCATGGTATAGTAGCCCATATTCAACTGATGACCTCAAGTCATCATGCCCCTTATGCCTTATGCAACACATGTGCTACAGGACAATTGGCCTAGTTAGCATCTCTATAGCTACATAAATAATAGAAGAATTGTGCCTGAATGAAATTGCCTTCCCAAGACTATTTTTGAGGTTTCGCAAAATATGTGTAACTTCCTCTAAATTGTGGAGCATGCTAAACTGGTTAACTCTTGTAATGATGAGATAATGAGCTGACGAAGCTGCCTCTGTTGCATTCCGACTTCACTCAGGACCTCGTTTGAAATTGCATCCATGATGCAGAGAACTTGCAGAAACAGTAGAAATTAGAGCACAAGTCGAAGAAACATATGGTTTCTTCTCCAAGGAACAAGGAACCAGCAAAACACATGCAAAATTTGGAGAAACCTAGGTTTCTCCCCTAACCCAGCTAGGGTTCCAAAAGTCAAGCTTGTCTTTCCCTTTCAATTATGAAATCCTGCGGCATTTCCCTCTCAAGGCCCACACACCTCTTGTATATTATAATTTGATGTTCAAATAAATTAAATGTCTATACAATAATTAAAATAACACAAAAAACCAAACTTAAAGACAAAATTTGTAATGAGAAATTTACCCCTGTAACAGTAACCCACAAATACTACCTATGAGCAGTACCTATAAAAATAACTAGTGAATAGTAAATAAAAACATAAAACAACCCTAGAATCGCTAGAGTAACCTAAAACCCTAAAAGTAAAATTAAAATATATATCCTTTGAAATTGAATAACAATTAACAATAACTATAATTTTTCCCTCCATCAATCCATCTTGATAATAGGATCAAGTGTACAAGTCAGAGGTTTAACTATTGTTTTCCTAGTTTCCTGTAAGAGATCAAGGGTTTACTTGTGTTGTGAAATGAATATCCCATGATTGGAAGTTGCAAACAATGACCTTAGGAAATATTTAAGATGCCTCAATTCCTTGATGTCAAATTCTTGGTGAATGTCTTTTTAGAGAGATATGCTATCCATACCTTCCTCTTTTATCACAATATCAGCAACATGAGTAAGGAAAATGGTAGTACCTTAAGATCTCCTCTTTACAAAAGGGGAGGAGTCTGAACAGCATCGAACCTTTCTCGTGGTGATTGCTTAAGGCCATAAAGAGTTTTTTGTACCCGACAAACTGATGCAAATTTGTACAAAAAAAACACAGATTTTGAAAAGAAACTGATTTATAGATTCAAATTTAAAGGAAGCTAGAAGCTAGCAAGTCTAGCTTCAATGGCTATGCAAAATTCACTAGGCTTCATGGGAAACTATGTTTCTAAACAATAACTCAAATCTCTCTTCTAGATTCTCTATGTAGACCCCCATTTATTAAAATTTTTTTTTACTTAAAACCCAATTCTAAAAAACTTTGCAATAAAACCCAAGAAAACCTAATTCTAATTGAAGTCCTAAATAAAACAAAATTCATAATGACATTTCTAATCAGTGTTTCAAAAAGCGCTAGGCGGCACCTAGGCGGTCAGGGGGGTCCAAGTGCCCAGAACCTGGGCGGCCCTGTAAAAAAATATACATTTGTGGGGTTCTCTCTCTAAATTGGCTCTAATGGGTTTTAGGTTTCAAATGAACCTAAAACCCACAATTTTGCCCATTTAGTATTAAAAAAAGACCCAAAAATACCCTCAAGGAGCCGCATTTCTGGCCCTGGGTGGGGTGCAGGCCCTGGGCTGCCGCCTCGGCGAGTTCAGGCGAGCGCCCAGAGATATCCGCCTAGGCGGCCGTCCAGGTGCTGGGCGGTCCACTTTTTGAAACAATGTTTCTAACCCTGATAAAATTCCATAAAGACGCTAATTACTTTTTCGAACAGCTCCTAAAAGTCCTAAAAAACTAAAAAAGCCCTAAAATCCATAAAAAACTTAAAAATTCTAATGT